GACTATAAAGCGACATGCTGAGTTCAAGTGCCTCTCGGCACAGTCGATCAGCAGACTATAAAGCGGCATGCTCAGTTCAAGTGCCTCTCGGCACAGCTGACTCAATTTGATTGCTTGCTGACGCTCATCTCAGAATCCAACTCTCAAATACAGCACTTGAGTGCAAGGCTCATAGCCAGTCATCAAGTGCAGTGTTCTCCAGTGTTCCGTTCAGGGTCAACCCTCAGATACAGCACGAGAGCGCATGATTTATGACCAATCAACAGAGCTCATGCATAGTGCGCACAGATCAAATACGGCACGTACTTAGCCCACGGAGGCGGTTCAAAGGAGGAGGGAAAGAGAGAAGAGAGAGAGAAGAGAGAGAAGAGATGATGAGAGTTAGGAGAAAGGCTGAGAGAGGGAAAGTGAGGGACCAATCTTGCCCCTCCCTTTCCTTACCCCTTCCCTCGCTTGCCTTCTGCTCGATTCTCTTGTCTCCTGCTCCACGCTCCCCTCTTGCTCCAGCTGGCACGTCGCTGTTCTTTGGCCCGTGCCTCTCGCTCCTTGCCGTTCCGTCAAGGCTATAGTGCTCTCTTAATGCGCCACTTCCTTCTCACGCATGCCGATCTCTCGAACTGATCTGCTTTTTGGGTGACGTGGCCTCTCTTTTATAATGGAGAGGCCAAGTGATCGGGGCTGAGTGCTGCAATCCCAAGGTCGGGGCCGTGGTCTAATTCTAGACCGGGCCTGTGCTAAAAATAGCAGCAGTCCCGACCTCGGGATATGAACAGTCAGTCCTATTTTTAGAACGGGACTGGCGCAGGCCCAGTCCCCGATAGATGAACAGTCAGTCCCACGCTAAAAATAGCGTGGGGCTGTGCTATTTTTAGAACGGGACTGGCGCAGGCCCAGTTCCCGATAGATGAACAGTCAGTCCCATGCAAAAAATAGCATGGGGCTGTGTTATTTTTAGAACGGGACTGGCGCAGGCCCAACTTTGGGAAACGAACAGTCAGTCCCGAGCTAAAAATAGTACATGACCCTATTTTAATTATTTGGGCCTGGCTGCTCATCTATATGGCTACTTAGGGCTGTTCCTTTCCTGACCGGGTTACGCGGTCGTGTCGGTCCGGTCCCATCCGGTCAAACTTGAATATCTCGCTAACCCTTGTTCCGTTTCAAGTGCCGTTTGGACAAGACCCCACTAATTGGCCCATTGCGGTCGCGTCGGTCTAGTCCAACGAGGAAGATCGGGTCTCCAGGGAACCGTACCGTCGCGCCGTTTTTCCCTTGGTTTCGACTCAGGGGAAATCTAACCGAAGCGCTAAGGTCCATGACTACGGACACAATTTTTGACGCAGCGCGGGAGTTAACCGCGGCGAGTCAATTTCCGCTGCTGCGCCGTATTATCTTCCGACAGCGCCCCCCCCCCGTGTCCATGTCCAACAGCCCCTCCCCCCCTTGGGGGTCTGCCGTGGGCTGTCCTACGCTTGTCATCTTATCCATCTCCTGTCTGGGGATCTCAAACAAATCTTCATTGTCCTCATTATTTGAGTCCATCACATCCTCCTGGTCCTCTTCTTCCTTCTCGTCATCCGAATGCCATTCCTGCTCCTCCCCCTCAGATCCGTCACTCTTATAAAACCTCTCCCAGTCCACTGGGTATGCCCTTGCATCCAGGTCACCATCGCCCTCCAGCATTCCTGTAGTAACCAGCTGAGCCAGTGAGACTGCTGCCAGTTCTGCTGGCAGACTCGATCCCGCCAAGACACTATAAGGCACAACTGTGATCGTTCTCCAAGGCCTCCATCTCATCCCTGAACTCAGATTTGCCTTGTTCGACAACTTGACGATCAACGGTGAAAATGCCTGAGGTGAATGTCTACCATGCTCTCAGTGCTGTGAAGTTGGTCCCTCGTGCTCTGGTTGAGGAAGTGCATCCTCCTGATCGGGTTTGCTTGGGTACTCCGTGGATATCTTTTCGCGGAGAATGGTAGCCACGTTTTGCCCTTCCTCAAAGCATGGGATCTGAAAGGACACATCTGTTGCAATTTGCCACTCCTCAAGTTTTTCTACATACCTTGCAGCAATCAAGGGGCGGATGTTCATCAGTGTCAGTCTTGACGACTTGGCTGTCACTACCACCAGAGGAGCCTGATCCCTGGCAATGTGTGTGATCGTTGTGAATTCTGCTGAGTATTCCTCGTTCAGTTTATTCAGCTTGTCTGTTTGTGCAATTACCACTGCCACTTCCTTTTCCAGCTGTGTGCGCACTGACTCTTCCTCAGAGTCGGTCTGGGACATGTCCGGGTTCTTCTTCTTCTGATTTTTCCCTGATCTCCATTTCTTTGGGCGCAAATCTTGGAAGTCGTCCTTAGACTCTGGAGCTGTTCTATCTCTGTCTTTCACTCCCTGTTCCCTTGCTCTCTTCTTTTCTGCATATCTGAATGCTCTGTATTCCGATAGCTCTTCCGCCTTCACCTTCCTGAGAACGTCAAATTGGTTGCTTAATTTCCTTAATTCCCCCATCCCCTTCTTACCATTTTTCTGAGATCTTTCTGCGATCTTGAGACACCCGCAGGGGTTTTCTAATAAATTATAAGGAGCTATTTGTTTGCTCTCTCTCTCTGTCTGTCTGTCTGTCTGTCTGTCTGTCTCTCTCTCTCTCTCTGTATCTCTCTCTCGTGTTCTCACACATAACAGCGACTTTTTTTTTTCTTTTTTTTTTTGCGCATCGGTGACCACCGCACTGCTCCGGGTGCACCGCACACTTGCGCCGCAGGTAGGAAACAAAAGTGAAGTTACCAAACCCCCTCGTAGACTTTCCGGGCCTTCCGGATCGTTGGCGAGGGGGATAAAAAATCAGGCAACATTTTTTTGGGGCGACCCAGGGCGTGAACAAACATCGTGGACCACCCAAAAAAATTTTGCCCGTTGGGATGGGGCCCACATGTCCGGACTGAGATCCGGACCCGGACCACGGACGGTCCGGATCCCTGTCCGGTGGTCCAGATCATAGCCATGGCTAAAACCCTGGTCTGGTGCCTAAGTTTCAGGGCAGGTCGATCTTATGAGGGCCTGAAAATGGACCTCCGTTTCAGGCTGAAAAGACTCAGGGCCTGGAAGGCCCTGTTTCAGGCTGAAACGACATAGGGCCTGAAGGCCCTCGTTTTCAGGTTTTCAGGCTGAAACGACACAGGGCCTGTAAGCCCTTGTTTTCAGGATTTTAGGATGAAACGCTACTCAGGCCCTGCAGGCCCGTGTGGCTACGCAGTATGCCACACTAGCGCTAGGAGTAGTCTTCAGCGCTGGGCGCTGTTAGGAGCTTAGAGTAGCGTTGGAGAGAGAGAGAGTTGGCGGAGGCCCGGGAGACTTACCTGTGGCGCCATAGCTCCATCTTCATCTTTGATGTACCTGCAACAAGGCACCACCTTTACAGGTTAGTACTGGACACAAGAGAGAGAGAGAGAGAGAGAGAGAGAGAGAGAGAGAGAGAGAGAGAGAGAGAGAGAGAGAGTTCTTCTTCTTCCTTTTCTCTAAGTCCACCATCTCTCCCTCACCCTCTCGCTACCTGACTTCTCAGCATCTACAGACTACGGGAAAGAGAGAGATTTGCGACTTTGAGATTTGACGACATTTGGATTCAGAGTCTTTAGACTCAACATTGGGACCAAGACATTGGACGAGGGATTATTTGGGGTCTATATCGAAGACTTGGTGTTGACGACATTCCCATCTTCTCCCTCTTCTTTGTCCGATTCCCCTCCTCCTCGTCTGTGCATGGTTTGTGACTGGTGCATTCTTCCTGTGTGAGCGCCAGGCCCCTTCACACCTTGGGATGATGATCATGTACGTTTGGTCTGCATTGCGACATTGATTGGTCTGATCACTGGTATTTCAGCCTTCCGCTGCGCTATCCTGTACTATGTGAGAGAGGTCTGTTCTTGTTCTGGTCTGTACCGTTACGGTATGCAACACTGGAAGTCCGGGCCAACCGTTTTGGGCCAGCAGATTGCAGCAGGGAGCAAAATTATGTGAACCGTTTCTCCCAGACATTTTTTCTGCCACCTGGATTTTTTTACCCCATTTCTCTTATACTTTTTCCAAAAACATCAGCACTCAACCTACGTCCCCGAACTTTTGCAGAATTTTCTACTAGCAATTTTGTGCAGGAAAATCATCAAGGTTCGCGCACTCAGACTTTCACACATTGCCGCCAACCCTCCCTAAGGCTGGTAGGTCAACCTCTCTTGCCGGCGGCACGTATACTGCTGTGACCGTTCAATTACAGAAAAGGCACCGGTAGTCTGGTGGGTTAAGAAACCGGAAGGAAGCAGCTGGCCATTCTACAGCCAATCACCATGAAAACAAACTTTTGCCTTGGGGTTTTAGGCCCCATAGATCCATTTTTCCACTTTTTTCTTTGGCTGCTGATTTATTTAGTGTCCACTCTATGGACTGGTGACAAGTCTGGCTTAGAAGGTGCGGGGCGTTTGTTATAATGACCCTGAAAAAATCCTGAAAATTTAGGCCTCTGTTGACTGTTTGTGACTGCTGTTTTTGAAAACAATTGTACAATTTAGCGGCACTGTCTTTTTCCCGGATTTCAGGATGCCCTGCCGTCAAAGCACCAACTACTCTGTACTTCGGGACGTCCGTGAAAATTGGAATGATACAGAGAAGAGGTTTAGCATGGCCCCTGCGCAAGGATGACATGCATAGATCAAGAAATGGTCCAAATTAAAAACAACGACAACGACAACAACTACTCATTCTGATGATATTATCAGTGCAACACATGGAGATCATATCCGAACTTGCTTACTTGTATGTTCAGCTTGTCAATCCATTCACGTTGTTGAAGCCACCACACACTTCCAACCTGTTAAAATATGCAAGCAACCATGACCCTCCACCCACATTGCCCAGTGCATCCTCCTCCCCATCCATACTCAACCATCCGTATTGCCCAGCTTGCACAGCCCTTGACCCCCACCATCACCCCTCCTCCTCCCCCAACACCCCTCCCTCCGCAGTGTCCTTCCCCCCCTTGCCAGCACTTTCCTCCAAAGGCCCCCAAGGTTTTCTAAAAAAGCAAGCCCAATAACCAAACCCCAAACCACTTGTCTGTTAAAATAAGGAAACAAACTGTTCGTCAAAAAAAAAAAAAAAGTAGACTCAAAACAGGAAGAGAAACTGTTTCTCAGAATAGTTGACGAGAGAATTCCTTGGACCAAGGCGCCAAAACTTAGCCCATAAAAGCACAAAGCAAACAGCCTCGGTCTCCTGAAGTTAGAAACCGGGTAACAAATGCCCTTGGTAACCGCCCGGACGTCCGGACTGGGTTCCAGACAGTCCGGCGTCCGGTGTCCGGTCCCCATGTCCGGATGGAGGCCCCTGGGGCAAAAAATAAAAATAAAAAATGGGGCGGCCCAGGACGTTTGTCGGGTCCTAGCCGCCCCTCGAAAAATAACGGGGTGATTTTTAAGTGTCCTTTCACCCCACCGGACATGGCCTAGAGGTCCAGACACAAGACACTGCAGGTTTTTGAGGTGGCGGGTTTCGCACAGGCCCGAGCAATTTCAAAGCGGCCGTTTCGACGTGGCACCCGCTGCTGCCCGTTGGGGGGAGAGAGAGAGAGAGAGAGAGAGAGAGAGAGAGAGAGAGAGAGAGAGAGAGAGAGAGAGAGCACTGACAGTGCTGCCAGTCTGAAGACTCTGAGGTTCTGAATTGAACTGCAAAGTTCAAACTTTTAAGTTATATATGAAGTTATGAACTTAAATTACTAAATCCGAAGTTCAAAGTTTAAAGTTTAATCATACTTTTTTCAAAAAAAAAATCTCTGTTTCTTTAGTCTTGTGCCTGCTTTGCACTGTTTGCAACTCTGCATGTCTGCTAGTTAAATGTCCTGGTTGATTTGCTGCAAGACACGTGCTCTGCTGCCTGAACTACAGAGTGCAGAGCAGGTAAGTGCCTGCCAACACCCCCACCCAACCTCCCCCCCACCTCCGTTTTTTTTTTTTCTTTCTTTTTTTTGGGTCCGGACATTTTTGCACCCCGGGGACCGGTCTGGACTGTCCGGTGTCCGGTAATGTCCGGATCACCAGACAGTCCGGACCGGTCCAGACACTGGTCCGGAAGACAGTCCGGAAGTGTCTGGTGTCCGGGTCCGGGGTTACCATGCAAATGCCCATTGCAATTGTGCCCACAACAAAAGATGAGAAACACAGAGTCCCACACACTGATTAACCTCTGAAACGTGGGAGAGCTGCAGTCAACGTAATATGTCTATCCTTCGGATTCCTTCCCACATAATAATATCATTTCGTTCATCTCTTTTATAACTCTCGTTGGCAGATAATTTATTTCGTTATTATTGTTGCCGACTTGGCATCATGTACTTCCTCATTTATGATTTTTCTTAAATATTCCTCGATGGCCTTGGCCGTGTCCTTCCCGACGACTGCCCCACCCATATCCTCCCAGACAATATTTTTGTCTTCTTCTTCCTCCTTGCCTCCTTATGCCCCCTTGCCTGATATGCCACCATGTGGCACAGTCACATGCCCACTTCCCTCCCAAATAACTCAATCTTCTGCCCGTCCTTCTCTTCCTCCTCCTCCATTCTCAGAGTGTGCCTCCAACACCACCCATCCTCTGTCTTCTTCTTCACTTTGCTCCCCACAACTTAGTTCCAAAGGATGTGGCTTGTTCAAACAAGCGCCCTCCCATGCACACATTCAAAGCTCAAGCTCTCTCTCTCTCTCTCTCTCTCTCTCTCTCTCTCTCTCCCCCCCCCCCCCCCCCCCCCCCCCCCCCCCCCCCCCCCCCCCCCCCCCCGGTCCCCCCCCCACGGACAACTAAGGTTTCGTAGACCAACAACGTCCCAACGCAAACACTCCGACATCCATGATGGACCTCCTTGACAATCCACTGGGACATCCGATGGGACATCCAACGGGACAAGTTCTAACACCAGGAACCTCCCACAGCAGGCACCAACATAAGATGAGAATGCAATGCATGATTAAGTCGAACGGACCTCATCAATGCCATACGTGCAAAGCCCCTCCACAAGTCTCTCTGCCTCCGACGCTGTCAAAAGGACCTGTAAAAGATATGTTCTCCTGTCATTAGATGCTCAATGGAGAGTGGGGGGAAAAATAAAGTCGGACTCTTATCAGCATCAACAGTATCTGTCGTTTTAGCTTCTGCTGAACAATTGCAATCACTTTCCCTGTCAGTTTCCTCTTCTTTCTCGTGCCCCGAAAACACCACGCTACGATCTCTATGGAAGTGTTGAGGAGAGAGATGCCAGCTGTTGGATGTTGTGTGGATAAAACACTGATGCAGAAGACACGGCAATGCAGAAAACAGCAATCTGCAAACGCACACACCTACTCAGGTTAGAGAAATCCGCCAATGCACTCATCTACAGAGTAACAACTGCTCACTCCGTCCTTGGGAAACTCCGTTAAAAATTGGAACGATACAGAGAAGATTAGCATGGCCCCTGTTCAAGGATGACATGCATGAGTCGAGAAATGGTTCAAACTTCAAATTAAAACAATGAAATAAAGTTCACAAACCGCTCACACTATGCCTGAGGACACAAACAACAGTGGTGGCGGCAGGGTAGTTTTGGCGCACCGCCGACGCCTACTGTAGGCGGTAGGCGCACCTACCAATCGGGCCGACCCGTGGGTGGACCCGTCAGCGGTCGGCAGACTGCCTTGCAATTTTATTTTATTTTTCCTGATTACATGGTCGTGTGCAGCTTGAGGAGAGCAGCCCAAATCCGCAACGTTTTTTTTGGGGGGTGGTGGAGGTTATAGGGGGAGGTACACGGGGGTTATAGGGGGAGGTATAGGGGGGGGTTAGGGGAGTTGTAATGGGTTTGGGGGGGTTACGAGGGTGTTAGGGGGCGGTAAGGAGGTGTTGGGGGGGTGTATGGGGGTGCTGGGGTGGGCTATGGGGGTGTTGATAAGGTTCTTCAGGGTTCTGGACCCAAAAAAAATGAAAAGAAAAAAAAATGTTTTTTTGCGGGGTGCCGACCGACCCCCGACCTGTAGGTGCCGACCAGTTCGACGGTTGGCTGGTCGCCCCCGACCAATCCAGGGGCCGACCGTTGGCGTGACTACTCTGGGTGGTGTGCATTGACTTGAACAGCAAGTACCAGACTGGACTCCTCCAGGTTCTGCAAATGAGATAAACTAAAAAAACAGAGAAAAATGACCCACAACTCAAACATCAACCCAGGACTTCTCCAGACTTTGATTATGACACAAAATCAAACAGCAGAGAAAAGATGAACCATAACTCAAACATCAACCCAAAAGCCAAGAGCGGACTTACGCTACTATTTCAATTGAGTCTAGGGGGTGGGTATCCCATGGGACAACCAAGGGTTGCTGTTGGGATGACGCTGGCCGGAGCTGGGGCGAGTCGTGTTGCTCTGTAACCTAGCCGAGTGGGAGTGTGAGGCCTGGGAGAGCCCGGCAGGGAATAAGACTGTTGGGCAGTTTTAGAGAGTTTTGTTTGGGAGTCTAGGGGTTCCGAACATTTGAAAAGAGGTCAGTAGTCATTCATAGTTTTTCAACCTCTTTTTAATTCTCTTGAATTTCTTCAATAGTTCTCAATAGTTCTCAGATTGATTCTCAGCCGAAGCCGGGTAATGGCCCCGGTATCTTAAATGACTTGTGTAATCCTATATGGGATGCTGGGCCCGGTTCCCAGCACGTGCTGCTCCCCACGAATAGACTGGAGCATTTGTCCCAAGAAAAAAAAAAGAAAAAAAAAAAGAAAAGAGTCTAGCTGGAATAGAGATCAAATACCCCTAGGAGAGTTGCAAGTACAGGTATGCCCTCAGCATTCCGCTGAGATTCTAAGCTAAACATGTGAACCCGCCGTGGCGAAGCAGCAGCCCAGGGGCTGGCCCACCCTAGGCATTGCCATTATCTTGTTATGATTCTGGTTGTTCGTTGCCTGCAGGTCAACACTCACTCACATAGACTTCCAGGTATGCCCATACATACACAGAAGGAAGGGGAGAGGATAGGAGTATCACACGGCACAGGGAGAGATCAACACAGCGGAAGACTTGACCATGCGATATGACAGGGTACACTGAAAGTGTGATTCACTCCATTCAATCCTCACAACCAGTCATAGAGAAAAGCCGAGTAAATCACATCCAGAGAACAATGAAACGATGATAGTCCAAACACAGTATCACACTGTTTATTATACTCACAGTCTCGAATTGTCAGGATAACTTCAGTACTACAGTGCGCTGCTCAGAAATGAGCAGCGCTTCACTCTCCAACCCTGATTAACACCCGTAACACCCCCTGAGTCCCTGAAACATCAAGCGCCACCCAAATACAGCCTCCTGGGGGCAGCGCCACCCTGAAACAGGCCTCTGAGGCCAAGCGCCACTCAGAGGATGGAGAAGAAGACCAGCGCCACAGTATCTGATGATGACGAAGTGTCGGGAGGCTTCCCAGGTGGAAGCCTGCAGCAGCGCCACCAAACCCTGACAAGATGACCTCTGAGATGAAGAAGCTGCAGCTATGGCTGCAGCGTAAACCCTCTGGGACCCCACTTCGGAGGAGGGTCCAGCAGGGCACCAATCTCTCTCACCTCCAGCAGACCTCGATAACCCAGACCTCTGTCAGCCCCTGCGTGCTGGCAGAGTACAGCGCAGGTCCCAGCTATGGCCTGCACTCCGAAGGTCTGGCTATGCCCGTCTCCTTCCACGCTGAGCCGTCACCACTTCCGGTTCACGCGTAGCGCAGCAGCGATGTACTCGGTACCAACTGCCAAAAGCCCTGAACCGATGTGCCCATCCTATTCTAGCCTACAACGACCTAGACCGGACTGACTGACCGACCGGTACCATTTCTGTTTCGGCCTCTCGGCCTCTACCGGACCCGGCTATACGCTATAGGACCGTCTATTTAGAATAGGCCCATAGGGCCTGTCTGTCTAGGGGTAGCCCGGGCCTGCTATCCACAGTTAGGGTAGCTGTAGGGAATCARGTTAGTACCGGGCCTGTATTTTCCCGGATTTGCAGACATGTCCCTCAAGAATTTCCCTCACAGGTAGGTCTCTCGGTTAGCCCTCAGCCAAACAAAATTATGAATCTGTCCTACCTATAGTACAGCCTCGACAGAGAGAGGCTACATGCCACCAGAAAACAGCAAGTCATTGCAATCTGGCCCGAGCGACATTGACGGTGTTTGTTTCAGAACATGAGGGATGCGCCGCATTCGGGCGGGCATCGGCCAAGGTATCAGCACACCATTGGATAGTTTGTAAATCAGAACTATTTTATTGTGGTCGCCACTGGATTTGAACTCACGTCTGTTATTCTGAAACGGTTTTCACCTCTTTGCAGTAGCAGATGCAGATCCCAGGGCTCGATCCCTAGACCTTGCCCTACCTGTGTACAGTACCTGAGTAGACCCCGAGAGTTGAACCTGTGACCTGTGTATTTGTAAACAGTTGGTAGGCTGTCATAGGTCCGTAGGTAGGAGGGGTTCGATCTGTAGATCTGTCGAATAGAAGTCTTAGCGAGTTCCAGAAGTCTTAGCTGTAGCCCTTCTAGAAGGTCAGCAACTGGGCAAGTGGGCAAGTGGTGAGTCAAGTGGTGGACTAACTGCAGTGCAATTGCAGTACGACCTCGGTAGGTTAGCAGTGAGTCCCCATTCAGTCAGCGGTAAGGTCCAGTCAGTCCCAGTCCAGTCCAGCAAGTACCACAAGGGACTGTGAGCACCATGGGCTGATGGGAAAGGGCAGACCAACGAGTTTCAGAAGTATAAATCAAGAGGCAGCGCCCAGCCATTCATTCATTCCTGTGTGAGCCATGCGGAAGCGCTGCCACAGCGACTTGTGCAAGGAGGTCTGCAGTGAGCCCGGAGCTGAAGTGGGCGAGAGAGGAGCGTAGCATAGCGATAGGATAGTTGCGGCCATAGCCGCCATAGCTAGAATTAGTGTGTAGTGTGTGTATGTGTGTGAGTGCTGAGTACCGCGTGTGGGATATCCAGGGTGATCCGGTGTACGTGAACAGTGAGTTGTTTGGGTGCTGAGTCGCCATAGCCAATTGAAAGTGAACTCGTATCTGGATGTCATATCTCTAAGTTTTGAGTGGGCGCATGTCGCCAGTTTGCTGCGCTACTGTTTACATGCATAAAAAGTGTGAATGAGAGCGAGTCTGATTGCAATTCAACAGTTTCATGTGTGCATGAACTGAGCAGCCTGCCAATGTGCAAAATGAGAAGGAATCTTCCGCAAGAACATAGGAAGATACACCGCAACGGACATATATATTGAAAAGAAATCCCGGTGTGAGTATGGACTAACGACCAGTCAGCTGCAAATGTCGCCGCCACACACACACACACACACACACACACACACACACACACACACACACACACACACACACACACACACAAGAAAAGAGAGAGAGAGAGAGAGAGAGAGAGAGAGAGAGAGAGAGAGAGAGAGAGAGAGAGAGAGAGAGAGAGAGAGAGTAGCTAGAACATGGAAATATACATTGCCACATTTTCGGTCTCTGGCAGCGTATATTTCCATGTTGTGGCAGTGGATACTTCCATGTTCTAGGGGAAGATTCAATCCCAATTTGCTTATTTGGTGAAGCGCGGCAATGTTGGTCTGTGTGTGTGTGTGTGTAGGATAAGCAAAATCGGAATGAATCTTCAGTCAGAACATGGAAATATACACTGCCACACTTCTTTTTTTTTTTTTTTTCATGTGTGCATCAACTGAGCAGCCTGCCAATGTGCATAATGACCACGAATCTTCCGCAAAAACATAGGAAGATACACCGCGCCGGACAGATACATTGAAAAGAAATCCCGGTGTGTGTGTGTGTGTGAGAGAGAGAGAGAACAGGCAAGTCTCCAACCTCGCGGCTGGCCTCATGCTACTTCCATCGGTAGGATGAGCGAAATCGAATGAATCTACCGCTGGAACATGGAAATATACACTGCCACGCTTGTGTGTGTTTTAGATTTTCCCCACAACAGCCCCAAATCCACCCAGGTGAATAGATTCAGAGTCAAAGAAGTCTGTCCTCTTGCAGACAACGAGAGCATTTGAGATGTCCAGCATATTAAAGCAATTTTATAATTAGACAGTTTTTTGGTTGTCCTTGGGGTACCCCTTTCATTTTACTTGCAGCTCCCCTTTCACTGTGCCTCTTACGCACAAGGCTGCCCACGTTGATTGTGGTTGAGCGCCAGCTGCCCACATCCCCATGTGTGTGTGTGTGTGTGTGTGTGTGTGTGTGTGAGAGAGAGAGAGAGAGAGAGAGAGAGAGAGAGAGAGAGAGAGAGAGAGAGAGAGAGCAGGGAGCAGGGAGCAGGTAAGTCTCCAACCCCGCGGTGCTATACTATATTGTCACATATATATAGTCACATAACTACGAACTAAAAGAGCGCCATATATATATTATGTCCATTTTGTGGCCATGGTGCTATACTGAATGCTTGGTCTTCTGTGGTGAGCGTTCTTCCTTCATTTTGGCCTGGAATCAACATGCCATTTGTTGGGAGTGTATGGTGGGCATGCTTAATACCAGCCGCCGTGGCAATTGTTATGCTGATAATGCTCAGCCACATCATCCTTACAATGTGTGTCCTCTCTGTCATCAAGGACAAGCTCACTCTTGAGCTTTTCTTCTCCTGTCCTTTGCCCTCATCATCATTCCACACTCCGTACTTTCCCTTTCAGTTCTTTGCTCGTCTTCTCTTTATCTCTCTTCCCTGTGCTTATCACCTTCCCCTTCACTCCGCCTCTTTCTTTTTTTTTTTTTTCTTTTTTTTTTTAAATAAGGCTAATTCTTTAAGCCCAACCAATTCAATTACCTGTCAAATCTGGACAGGACGGCCTTTCAGGCCTTTTTTATTGTCATTATAGATTACGGGGAACCCCTTAGCAGCCACACCCGTGCTCAAGCCTCCAACGAGGGAACATGCGGGGGCTGCACCCACCAGCAGGTGCGATACCTGCTACAGCAGGTGGGTGATACCGGCCAGGGGTCAGCCGGTAGCATCAGGACTGAGCTTCTTCGATGGGCCAGTCACTGTGCCTCCCCTCCGATCCCCTCCCCCTATGAACATCAGCAGTCTCTGCTCAATGCCACTCAGGGGGACCAACGTCATATCTCTAGGTGGCGGGCGCCAAGCTTGCCCAGGAAGGTGCATGAGGCCAATGGGGATTGAACCCAAGACCTCCTGAATGCCACTTGAGTGCCTTACCAACTGAGCTCTGCCTCTTTCTCATAGCGTACGTACAAGTGGGTCGTTATGGCACACGGAGATGCGGGCAGCTTGTGCTCAACTTCATCAACGTGGCGAGCCTTGTCTGTGAGAGGCCTACTGAAGGTGGAGTTAAAAGAAGAATGATAAAAATAAATGGTTTCAGTGCCCCTCATGTTTGTTTTGTTTTTCCAATCCTTGCCTTTTGTTTCGCAAAGTGCACTCTTTTAGTTCATAGTTATGTGGCAATCGTCTGTATATATTGTCAAACAGAGCTGCCCGGTAAACCGTAGGCAGAGAGGGAGAAGGGAACAACAAACGAGGGGCTGCGACAAACCGTTTCGTCGGAGTTTTACCGACTCATCAGAAGGCTGAACCCTATATTCTACAAGCACATCCACCAGCATCCCTACTACTCTAACGTGCTAGAGTCTGATCTGCCACCATGAACTGTTCTGAATAAAAACATGGTTGAGCTACAGGCCAAAAGAAGCAACGAGCCACAACAGAGTGAGAGAAAGAAAGAAACAACATTGTGCAGCTTCTGTTCAATGCCTCCACATTCCTACAAAACAGTCTGTCACAGCCCCTCATTTGTTGTCCTCTTCTCCCTCTCTGTCTACGGTTTACCAGGCAGCTCTGTTTGACGATATATTCTATGAGCACATCCACCAGCATCCCTACTACCCGTTTGTGCTAGAGTCCGATCTGCCACGATGAACTGTTCTCAATACAAACATTGTTGAGCTACAGGCCAAAAGAAGCAACGAGCCAAAGCAGAGCGAGAGAAAGAAAGAAACAACATTGTGCAGCTTCCGTTCAATGCCTCCACCTCCTCTCATGTCCTCCTTCCATTGGGGGCTCAAGGAACCCTCGGAACTGTGACCCATCCGCTGTCCAGCGAGCACCATAGCCAGCTTTCAAACGGACTTCATATGCAGCCAAATCATGTGGCAACCAATGAACATTATGCCACATGGCATTATCAAGAATATCGAGAATCACAGAGACGGCAAGTCTATTCTTCTCCGCTATTGTCCCAGTGAAAACCCCCCACCACTTGTCAGTGCTGCGATGGGCATGCTTGGACAGCGCCCTTGCTCCTTTTGTCAGAGTGGCTTTCCCATCACCATGAAGCTTCTGGAAGGACTGCAGAAGAACCCATCTTGATGGAATCAGGACACCATTGACAGGGTGCCGAAGAGACCCTTCAGATGTGCGCAAACCAAGGCAGCACCTAAGCCCTTCATCACCCAATGTCTGCAGCAGATCGTGCATGCAACCCATGCCCGTCTGCGTCATCATCATTGCCACTGTCATCATCCTGGAGGATGCCATCGTAACAGAATCGTCAGAGCCGTCTCTCCTCACATCTGCTACTTCCTTCGCCACTCCTCTCTCACAATCCTTGTTTTCCTCCTCCTGCATTACCCTCTTGCACCCATCCTTGTCCTCCATCTCCTCCCCAGGTCGTCCCTTCTCCTTTGTCCTCTTCTCAAATCCCCTCACTTCTGCCTCCTCCTCCTCCTCCTTGGAAGCTTCGTTCTCCTTCATCCTCTTCTCAAATGTTATCCTCTCCTCCTCCTCCCCGTAAGCTCCCTTCTCCTTCGTCCTCTTCTCCAATTGAAATCGTTCCATCTCCTCCTCCCTATGATCTCCCTTTTCCTCAGCCTTCTTCCATGACTCGTACATCAGCAGAAGTGTTGATCCACGCTCACAGATGACAGGAGTCCACTGGGCAATGAGATGGTCTCGATCAATGGTTTCAGAAAGGCCATCGATCTGATCCATGATCATTGGGAATCGGTGTTCACTAATCCAACGGTGAAGAACACCCGCTACATGGTCATACAGCGGATAATCTGGCAACCCACACGTGCGGGGAGGCTTCACATGTCTACCACATACCCAAGGGCATGGACTCGCATGACCACAAATCCAGGCCCGAGGAGGGTCCACATGCCACTCCATGTACCGACTCCTGTCCCCCCATGAGTTTTCAGATCGCCGCTCATCTTCTTCTTCCTTCTTGGGCTGCAAATCATCAGGACTTCTTTGAGCATTGTGACAATCATCCTGAGCCACCAGGAGCGCATTCGCAAATTCTATAGACACAGACACAGCAGCCTGCTGCTTCCCCTGCTGCTCCTGCTGCTGCTCCTGCTGCTGCTGCTGATGATGATGATGATGAGGGTGATGATGATGATGAATCAAAAAGCATAAATGATTACCATCATCATCATCGAGGTTGTTTATGTCGTTCCAAGAGGAAGACGATGGTGCTGCAACCGACCGATCTGCCGTGGTCACATATTCTGTCAAACAGAGACGGAGGAGATGGGCTATGAAAGCACGTTGATGACCACGGCAGCGGGTAGCAGTGTGCCACCTCTTCAGTGCCCATGGCGCCACAGCAAGATTCCCGCAACAGCCCGCCCCTGATCCTGTTCTGCAGCACTCTCGTGAGAGCGTCGTGGGTATTGAACTTTGTCCACAGTGCTCTCCCGAGCGCGACCTGGACGATAATAAACCCGGTCCACACTGTGGCTCACCTAAGGACAACCGGGATGCTAAACCTGGTCCACATAGCTCTCCTGGCCCTTTCCCTGATGCTAATCCTGTTCTGCATTCCTCTCCGAACGACGAACTGGACGCTAAACCTGGTCGACACTTCTCTCCCCAGCAAGTACCGGAAGCTAAACCTGGTCCATGTTGCTCTCTTGCCTCGGGTCCTGAAGCTAATCCCGGTTCATACTGCTCTCCCAAGGAGGAAGTGGACGCTAAACCTGGTCCACATTGCTCATCCCAAGAGGACCTGGACGCTAAACCTGGTCCACATTGCTCTTCTGAAAAGGTCACCAATGCTAAACCTGCTCCACATTTCTCTCCCAAGGCTGACCTGGATGTCAGCTCGCCCGTGGAAGGTTCCATCCTCCCCTTCACCTTCACTTGCACCACGCTGGGTTTCGAACCTCGGCAGCACAATTGGTCAGAGAACAACCAGCCAGTGTCGGTTCCAAACATGCGGCCCAAATTTGCTTCCACTCATTCCCCTCCGTCCTTTCCCTACCTCAGCAGCTGCATCATGCATGTCAACCACCATTAGCAGGTGGAATCAATAGTCCCACTCATACAATGTTCCCGCTCACAGAATGGTCCCACTCACACAAGAGTCCCAGTTACAGAAATGGTCCCAGTCACACAAGGGTTCCATTCACATAATGGCTTCACTCACAAGTGTCCCACTCACATAATGGTTCCACTCCCAAGGGTCTCAGACACCACGGTTCCACACACAAGGCTCCCACACAAAGGGTCCCACTCACACCATGGTCTCACTCCCACAGGTCTCCATTCCTGCAAGTGTCTGGATCAGACAGGATCAGCAGATCGACAACATCCTAATCATATCCACATTCAGATCCTAATCATATCCACATTCAGATTATATATCATATATGTACATATCGTATGTCATAGCATATCATCCTTGGTGGTTAACGAACCGATCATGCTGCATGATATCTGGAAGAAGAGGATATTCACAGTGAGAAAAGGTTTCCCGCCAAGGACAAAATATGTACATAAATACAATGCTCTAAGCAGCTTGCTAATCCATCGGTTCCGCGGCAAAGACAATAAATATATGTACATATGCAGTGCTCTAATCGCATTGTTAACCAGACCATTCCTCCATATTACAAGGAATTATATTATTACATACAGGGTTGCCAGGCCGAAGGTACGGAGGCCACTAAGCTGACCGCCGAACGTTCGAGTACGGGGCCCGAACCCCGTACCGGTAAATTTGCATTACATCCTATTTCAACTCGTCCATTTCCATAAGACCCTCCCCTCCTACTGGTAATTTTGCATGCATTGCACCCTACTTAATTTATCTACTGTTTTTTTTTTTTTTTTCTAGCAGACTAATGCTTTTAAGTCCAACCAATTCAATTACCTGTCGAATCTGGACAGGAAGGCCTTTCAGGCCTTTTTTATTGTCATTATAGTATTATGGGGAACCCCGTAGCTGGCACATCCGTGTTCAAGCCTCCAATGAAGGAACATGGGGGAGCTGCACTCACCAGCACGTGCAATACCTGCTACAGCAGGTGAGTGATACCGGCCAGGGGTCAGCCGGAAGCATCAGGACCGAGCTTCTTCGATGGGCCAGTCACTGTGCGTCCCCTCGTGTCCCCTCCCCCTACGAACATCAACAGTCTCTGCTCAAAGCCGCTCCGGGGGTCCAATGGCCTACCTCTAGGTGGTGGGCGCCAACGCCGCCAAGCTTGCCCAGGAAGGTACATGAGGCCAATGGACATTGAACCCAAGACCTCCTGCGCGCCTTACCAACTGAGCTAGGTTTCTAGGTAAATGTGCATGCATTATGCCCTACTAAATTTATCCACTGGAAAATTTGCATGAACACACACACACACACACACACACACACCAAAAAAAAACGAAAAGAATGAAAATGGATAAACGATCCAGCCACTGGCTGCTACATGTGACACCCCTTCCCCCCTAACCCTCCCCATGTGAAGCAGCTTGTGTTACCCACTCCATTCCATCAATCGGTAACAGATGTCATTATTATCTTACCATCTTCATCGTCATCTTCATCTGTCAACGTTGTCATGGTCGGATGCTCTCTCTCTCTCTCTCTCTCTCTCTCTCTCTCTCTCTCTCTCTCTCTCTCTCTCTCTCTCTCTCTCTCTCTCTCTCTCTCAATCCCTCTCTCTCGTGCCTTCGTGCACGCCAAAAAGGAAGCATGACTGTCGAGACTGTTTCATCGGAGGTTGAACCCCGACATTCTGCCCAAGATGCATCTGCGTGCGTGTGTCTGACGTCATGTTCGCTTTACACAACTACATAAAAGAAGGCTCGACTATGCCAGACTGAACCAAGCACCGATTCCACGATGCACGTAGCATCAGTGCACTTAGCACGAAGCACCGATGAACCAACCGTCGATGCACGTAGCACTGAAACCAAACCAAGCACAAACCAAGCACAGAGTAGCACGGAGTAGCACGAATGCATCCAGTAGCACCAAGTAGCATGAAAGTGGCACCGATGCACGAACCAAACACGACCAAGCACGAAGTACCAAGCATTGATAGAAAGAAAGGGAGAGGGAGAGAGAGAGGGAGAGAGAGAGACAGAGGGAGAGAGGGAGAGAGAGATCCAGATAGAGAGAGAGAGAGAGCGTTACGGTAGGCAGGCCGTAGGCAGGTCGCATGGGTCGCGTAGGCTGTAGGTAGGTCGCCTAGGTCGCGTAGGTCGCCTAGGTGGGCGTAGGCAAGTCAGTAGGTCGCGTAGGCGCGTAGGTCCGCCGGTAGTCCAAACATTACGCGGCGATCCAGGCCGTTCACAGTCCTACCGGCCCGATGGCCCCAATTGCCCCGCAATCGATCATGGGGCAATCCGGGCCGTCGGGCCAGTAGGACCGCGAACGGCCTGGATCGCCGCGCGATCTTAAACTCTTAAGATCGCGGGGCAATCCGAGCCGCCGGGCCGGTAGGTCTGCGGACGACCCAGATGCCAAAATTATCACATTAGCAACTTTTAAGTGTAGGGATTCTGAGGCGCCGGGGCTACCAGGCGGCGGAGCGCTACCGGGAGCGCTCCGCCGCCCGGAGTTTGGACGTGACGGCGGGCCTCGCGGTGCGGGCAGGAACGAAGAGCGGCTGGGGCGCTTCAACGGCAAGATTGACGCGAGGAGGAGGTGGCAGTGGGATCATGGGGCATGGAGGAGCGTGTCTGGACGTCGTTGGGCAGTGCATCTCGCGTTAAGGTCTTGGTGGATAGGAATACTGGGGGAGGGAGAAAGGGGAGGTAGGCAGGGCTCCATGAGTTGGAAGGAGAGTGCTACAAGGAAGAAGGGGGGAGGAGGAATGCGGGAGAAAAGTTTCCTATAGGTGGGTGACGTCTGCAATGAGGACACCCTCTCATCTCTTTGGGCTACCAACGAGGGGCGGCTGGCGGGCTCAGCGGTTTAGTCTCGCGACGTGGTTTGGTATGCTGTGAAGGCAATCCTAGTTGCGGTCCTGTTATCATCATCGTTCGATCTATTTGGGGGGTTGAATGGTTGTCAATCACAGGCAGCCGAGTTGCTGGAGAGCCGATGATGCGAGGAGGTGTGGTTTGGAGAGAGGGGGGGTGCATTTAGGGATGTCAAGGGTAAGCTGGGTTTTCCTCTTCATTTTGACCTTGATGAGATCTTTAACGAGGAGATTCTTAGATAGATTTTGTTTGTTTTGATACCTGCTTTTTAACCCTGAACTTTAGCATAATCAATAATTCTGATTGATCCTGACTTGTTTTGGCTGCTTAATTATGATTTTTCAGTTTGGTTTTTCCATGATGTTTTGATCGATTTTGCATTACCTGTTCGGTTTTTCTACGTCATTATTCTTGATGCACATCAAATTGAGCTACCAGTTTTGTTACGGACTTCGCCAGGGCTCGATCCCTGGTCTATCTTTTGCTGTTTCGGCTGCATCCCGTTTTCGGCCTGGCACCCCTTTTCCAAACGCCTCCTTTTGGTACCGTAGGATTTTGGACAACTGGCACCATGCTGCAATTCGGGCGCCACTTTCAAATACTGCATTTTTCAGTTCTGCCCTCGGGGCCTTTGCAGAAATGCCCCTGGTACCGTACGTGTCACCGGTACTTATACCGGCTCCCCATACGGTACGGGGACCAGTCTCGTACCAGTTCTCGGCTGCTGTACTCGTACTCAGTGTGACTTGCTGTTTCAGCATTCGGAATCCAAGACTTCGACTTTGTGACTTGCCACTGTGTCTGCGTCCGATCCTCAGTCCGAGTCAGTCGTGTCGAGTGAGTGAGTGTGTGTGTGTGCTCTCACTCTCTCCCTCTCTCTCCTCTCCCTCGGCCCACCCTCAGCCTCACGCTCGTTACACTGGTATCGGAGCGATTCGCTCCCCCTTCGTCACCGTGACCTTCAGTGTCGTGCCACGTCATCACCGCCGTCATCAAGACCTCCGTCGCCGCTGTGCCACGACATCGTCGTCGTCGAGACCGTCGCCGCCGTGCCACGTCATCAGCG